GACCTGGCATGAGGGTATGAAAACCCTAACCAGGAGACTAGGTCACATAGGCCCCATTAGACTCCCTGGCTGGGGTTTTCGGGATGATCGTATCCGATGGTAAGAGACACTGAGTGATATGGCTGGGTGTCGCAAACAGTGGCGCTGGTGCATCCACTCGTTATTCTCCTAACACCACTCTATATGAATTTCCCATCTTTCATTTGAATTTGCTTCGACATTCCAATCTTCATTTTGCTCTTTTAATCAAATGGGCTACCCATAGACAGCAACCAAAACCCGCGCACAAAAGTGCATTGTTAATGGTTGTAAAACTGAAACTGAAACTGTACTTTGTTTGATGCGATCAAAACCATATCAACGAACCCTAGATAATTGTAACGGCCAGTTGATGGATTTATCGAAAAGACAGCTTGTTCCGCCTACCAGACTTGGTTTTCAATAATAACTCTGTCCAGGAATAATCAATCACTTCAGGGCATATCCCCTAAAACGTTTGCTCAAAAAGGTTGTCTAAACTACAATTTTCATTGTTTCATCCTTCGCGTATATGATACCTCTCTATCACCTTAAATTGTTTGTGCTCAAACCATTATCGATTCATTCATGTCACGGCTCTACGCGGCATACCTGGATACCTTCGGGTTAACCAGAGCTGAATGCTACCAGGGCCGTCCCCGGTTTGTGGATAGGGGATACCTTCACCGAAGAAGGTTAGCTGTGAATAAGTTGTGGCATAGCGCAACAAATAAGTATTCGCGAAAAAAAACAGCGGCAGCACTACCAGGGAGTGGTGGGTTTCAGGCTGGTCACCTAGCTCCTATTCAAAAACCGCATACGCGCAATGACGATGTCGTGACTAAGGTCGATGTGACTGACCTTTAAAAACTAAAATCACTGACCTCCTCACTTCCGAGGTGAGGGCTTACTTCCTACTGTCTTGCAGTTCGCACTTGGTCATGCAAGGGCTAGAGGTGCGCCCTCAAAATGAAAAACTAAGCACCGAGTGACACTGGGGACGTCTCTCGTACCGAACGCCCAAGTAACCTCATGATCATGTCTGGAGCCGGCTAATCCTTTCCAAGGAGCCAGCCACAGTAAAGTACAGTAAGCGGCATCGAATAACACCTAATTGTTTAGCACCCAATAAGCGATCGTGATTATTTATCACATCATTATTCTACCATCCGAATGCAGTGTGTGTACAGACCATATGGGACTCCCCAAGCTTCATCTTTGTCAATAGCCCATAAAATAAAAATTTTCATTTTTGAATTTACCAAATGCCTTGAAGCGGTTGTCGTTTCGTGCTGCGGTTGTCAAAATACAAAGAAGGAAAGAAAAAAGAAACATCCCGAGAATCATGTTATTTGACTGATTCCAGTTCTATGTTTGTATTGTGAACAGTTCAATAGCCACTGAGGCTACTGAACTGTTCACAATTTAAATATAATAAGATGGAATATCTGTAATTGTCGTAATTTAACCACAACGGGATGCTAGAGAGAGTGTGTTCGATGCAATCGAATTGAATAGGTGGAAAATACTATCCAGCTTCGAACCGCTTGTAATATTCGTTCATTTCAGTTTGTACATCCATCATTAACCATACACTTTCGTGCGCCGGTTTTGGTTGCTGTCTTTTGGTCGCCCATTTAGATGAACAGAAGAGGAAAGACAAACAAGTTAAAAGTAGAATTGAATTTGGATTGCTAAATTGTAGATTAAATTCACTAATCTCGGATACCTGAAGGTCAAGTCAAACACCTGAGTTTGTGAACACTACGTCAGACGAGGCGGAACACGAACATCGAAACAGATGAGACTTGATAATTCTCAAATTTTTACTCTCCTTGGTTCCTCAAACGAACTCCCCCCACCCGTTTTTTCTTCTAGCCACTTTATTGGTATGGTAACGAGAATTCCCGCATCCAGTTAGTTCATCGCTCTCCACTGGGTGCCGAGTCCCAAGGCACAAAATCGTCCAAAATCAATGCAGTTCTCGTGACTCATCCACGTGGAATGGATCTACTGGATATAGCATCTGGGAGACCGCTAGCTCGACTACCACTGGAATGGAGTAAGTCATGAGCTCGATTGTTTATCACTTGTTCTATATGGTTTCGGTGTGTACTCTAGCAAATAAGGATTCTCGCCTTGTCACGTTTCAAAGTTGTTATCGTTTTTCTCGTGGAATAAAAGCTTTCATTTTCAGGATTTATTCATCGCATCCGAAAACCTTTCCGTAGCGAACAATCTGCTTTGTAAATGAGTGATATACAATGATTCCTGAATGTGACTTCTTCCATTCTCCTGCATATTAATCAGAAGACCTAATAGTTTAAACGGATTTACAGCCACTGGTTTAAGTCTTCATCTAATATCTATTATCGTTTTTATCTAAATTATGACCGAAAAGTCTGAATTCATTCTGAACTTGATCTATTTTACTGTATGCATTTTGTATCCCGTGAAGAGATTGACTTGAAAGGAAAATCATATCAATAATGGGTACCGTAAATGCTATTATTCAGCCTGGCGATTCACAGGAAACCATGGTTAAGTGAGCTCTCTAATCGGTCTAGGACTATTTGGGGTTTGAGAATAATTTAAGGCAGGTGAGAAAATAGTTTTATCCCACTTTGTCTTTATTTCTGTTTTATATTATTATTATTATTATTATTATTTAATGTATTTCACACGTGTCTGAACCTGGGCAGTGTGTCGCACAAACCACCAATAAATACTCTTTATAACGAAGAAAATGGTTCATGGTTCGCTGCTAAGCCGTATGCTCAAAGTTTGTCCAAGCCAAAGCAATTCAATTTTCGTGAGGAATTCACAACCGAAACCTCTGGTTAGCCAAAACTTGTTCCGCAAAGTAGCTCATCGGGGGCCACCGTCTAGTTTAGCGAATTATATGCCCTTTGGACGGGATCAAACGTCCAACTTTTATCATGTTGGTAAAGTAAATGAATATTTGCCTGATGCGGGATTCCGTGATCTAGTGCTATCGGTTCAAACGTTGCGACCTATTTTTTTTCGGGAATTCGGTCTTTTTTGTTACAATAAACCTAGTTAAAATCGGTTGTGGGCTGCACCGGTGCGGTGAGATTGCCAGTACAGATCTGCGAACGATTCGATCCTCCTTCAGACGCATTCCGGAGAAAAGTTCAGGGGAACAGTTGGCGAAATGGAGTAGAGTGCATGCCTGTACGAAGCAACTAGGGACCGATTCGGAGGTACACGGGCATCTTGACACGAAAACCAGAGTAGCTTTGGTTTATAAAAAAATCATGTAATATCCTTGAACTAAGTCACACGAAAGTAATTCACCTTACCGATCATCAATTCTATCTTTGCTAAGCGTTCATTTCCACCAAGTGAACAAAGGATGTGACAACAATTTGGAATCATTACTCGATAAGGAGGAGGAATACGATCAATCCAAAACGAACGATATAGAGCATTGCCAACATGTGAAATATAACTGTAGGATTCATCTGACCATTTAATTTGCAAACAAACAGACAAGCCCGGTGAACAGACGAAAAACCACCTATATCACCCATGATCTTGTTAACTGCAGGAGTCACAGAGTTACTCACAAGTTGGAAAATGAAAATGAGTTTTTATCTCTGATAAGATTTAAAAAAAAGAGGAAACTTGAATCGATTGTGGGAACAGATTAATCGTGTACGGAGCAAATGAAACAGAAACTGAATCGGTCAGAAACATAGAGCAGCTGTTTCGCAATTGTTGTGTCTTATCCGCGGTACAAATCCATCAACCCCATTGGGGATTATGCACAAAACTGGTGATTTGATTGACCCCTTTCGATTGCCTTTAACGCACCACCTCCACATCAATGGGCTACAGTACCCGGTTCCACGTATGCGAACATGCCCAGTGTCAACGAGTCTCGTATGTTCACCGATTCCCTGACCAAGCACACGCTTCATCAAATCCGGATCAGCTCAGCCGTCATTCCCACTAGTGTGTCCGGACGTGGTGTTCACATTCGACAAGGCGGTCAGTCGACCAGTCCGGAAGATGCCACTGAGCCAGACGACTCGAAACCGGACTTGTTCCACCCGAATCCGATCGCTTTTGGTCAGAGTGATTTTTCACACCAGGTGGATTGTCGTGGTAGACTGACCGCACTGGAATCCGCTGGGCTGATGGAACGGGATTCGCTCAGACCGCTGGTATCGAATGGACACACGGTTCTCTATACCGGGCTTTGTCGACCTGCCGGTTGGTGGGAATACGCTCGCCTCGGCCGACCGGATTGGTTGGAAGACGAAACTAAATCAGTCCCACCACTGATTATCAAACAGTAAGTGAGTTTGCCAGGAGAGTTGCTTTGCTATCGGGTTGCCTGTAATATGTCGCGGTGTAATATCAA